AAGATGGGGGAGAAGTTATAGGAGAAGGAAAGCAATGAAACAAGTGAGAGATGAGATAAGGTGGGGTTAGAAGACGACAACAATAATAATAGTTTATGGTAAAATATGCAAGTAGGACTTAACTATAAACTCTATAAATTTGTTAAAAAAATAAAAAGAAAAAGAGACCACTTAAAAAGAGATTACTAAATAAAAAATATTACTAAAGAAGGTAAATAGGGTACAAGTAAGCAAATAGGAAAAAAGTTCATCAAATTTAAACTACTTCGTAAAAGTTTTCTCTCTCCACTCTCCTCTTTCCTCTCTTCTAAACCCTAGCCTCCATTGTTGATTTTGGAAGGGCTTCCATCGGTTTTAACCGGTGGAAAGCCCCAATTCTTGTTTTGCTTCTTTTTTGTTCTTTTAGGTTTATAATAATGCTTCCTCTTTTTGAGAGAAACTTTTCTCCCTCGAAAGAAAGGGTTTCCGATCTCCTTCAAAAGACAAGGGTTTTTCGACCTTTTTCGAAAGGCAAGGTTTATCTCCTCTTTTCGAGGGAGAAATTTCTTAGTTTTGAATCCATGACAATAGATTTAATGGATTGTCGTGAAATTATTTCATTATTGGTGAAAAATTTTGCGAGATCGCAAAGGTTATCAAGTTTTCGAATACAATTGGATGAATTAGAAGGAAAACATCTTCACGACTACAAAAGATCGTTAGATTGTCTCTCCAACAAGGTTATATTTTCCAGCGAGATAAGCGGGAGATGCTCCATAGTGCAATATTTACTCGACGATAAAATCAACTCTCCTTTGTAATGTCGTATGACAATTTATTAATGAACTAATTTTACTATTAAAAAAAAAGTAAGTAAATAGGATAAATATGAGATTTTTTCCCCACTGGTTATAGCCCTAAAACCTCTTTCGTAAAATAACACAATAACAAGATAAACCTTTAAGAAAATTGTTTAACAATGAAAGTTTTAATTATGATAAACTTATTGATTATCCCGGTAGTCAACATATAAGCACTTTTAACAAAGATATTGTGCTAGATTGGGGAGGGGGGGGGGGAGGCTAGGAGAAAAGAAAGAAGGAAACTGATCCCTCTATCTCTCCCGGCTTCTCTCTATCTCCATCTTTCTTCCGACCTCCCTCTCCTCGATTTTAACTTTTAAATTTTATTTTATACAGTAATCTCAATAAGTATTTGTATTACATACTAAATACTTATCCTTAAATTAGTAGTCTAACACCTACTTGTCTATGTTCATTTTAATTTGAGTAAAGGATGGTATTTTACATTAAAATGATGCAAGCAGCTTCTCTTTTACCAATCCTCCAATCGCCTTGATCGCACCACCCACTTTGTCAATCCTCCAATCGTTTTGATCGCACCACTCAGTTTGCCAATCCTCCAGCAATCACCCTGATCGCACCACTCAGTTTGTCAATCCTCCAATCGCCCTGATCACACCACCCAGTTTGCCAATCTTCCAATCCCCTTTATCGCACCACCTATCGCGACACCCAATTTGTCAACCCTCCAATAACCTTGATTGCAGCACCCAGTTTACCAATCCTCCAATCACCCCCTCACAGGCTCACACTGGTATAATTTTGTACTTTCATTGATTTTAATTTATTATTTTGATACTTGGGTGTATTCGATTTATTTGTTGATGTAATTAATTACGATATTGTATTAAATATTCGTTTTATTATATGGTTTGTTGGGTGTTTTGTATGATTATTTATAAATTTGTGTTTTATGCTGTTTATTATGTGAGTATTATGTTCATAATATAATAAACTCTGATGTCATGAAAGTAGACCTTATGTAAATTTTGTTAATGTTATTGATTTGTCTTTGTTGCATACTTATATACATCATGAGCTACTCTTAGTTTAACTTTAGATAGAGTAATATAATTAGTAGTTTTGGATGTTGATTTAATGTTATATCTTATATATGTTACTCGAATTCTACTAGAAGTTTCTGATTTGGAATAACTAACTAACGAACCTGGTATGCTAGAAGTGCCAAACACGACTTTTGTATGAAACACAACATGATTTTGGTATGTAATGAAGTGTAGAATTTCTAAATAACCTGATTTAGAAATTTCACTCTAAAGCATAGAATGGAGAAGGAGAAACAAAGTATTCACATAATTATAATATGATTTAGAAATTTAACTTAACCAAATTAATTAATAACACATTTAGAACACAAAATCAACCTTAAGGTAGAATTGTGCTAAATTTATTAGCAAATACTTCTTTTGATTTGCATAACCATATGAGAGAGAGAGAGAGAGAGAGAGAGAGAGAGAGAGAGAGAGAGAGAGAGAGAGAGAGAGAGAGAGAGAGAGAGAGAGAGAGAGAGAGAGATCTATAAGTTATGAAACCATTAAAAATGAGCAAGCAAAAAAGGGAGAGAAAGACAAAGAAAGAGAAAGAGATCGAGAAATTCGGAGAATAAGGAAAAATGAAGAATACTTTTTAGAGTGTAATTGAGTAAGGAGATGACAATAATTTTAAAAAACTTTCTAAGATGCTCAAAAAAAAAAATAAAAAAAAAATAGTGAAATCAAAAGAAAGCTAAGAGAAGGAGAAACAAATTAAGAAAGCAAGAAGGGGGAGTAGATTTCAACAATTAGATTTAGACAAGCTTCTTTCAATAATCAATAAACGTTATTAATTTACCAATGTGATTTTGTGAAAATTATTAGAAACTCATCTGATTAGTAGCGCCTTTATATAAAAGTTCAACATTATATTAGGGTAGAATTGTGTTACATTCATGAGTAAGTGTTTTTCTTTATGTTTGTACAACCACAGAAAGAGTAGGAAAGAAAGAGGGAGATGAAGATAAAGGGGGGGAGGAGAAGGAGGGAAAGGGAGAAGGAGGGAGATGGACTAGAAGAGAGAGATGCATCAAGAGAAAGAAAAGGAACTAGGAAAGAGAAGGGTTAGAAGAGAAAGAGGGACCGAGAGAGAAAGAGGGTAGGTCGAAAGACAGAGAGAGCAGTTTGAAAGAGAGAGGAGTAGGCCAAAAGAAGAGAGAGAAACGACTGAGAGAAAGAGTGAGAAAAAATGGGAGAGAGAAGGCGGTAGAAAAGAGAGTGATAGAAAAAGAAGTTAGGAAAAAAAGAGGATGAGATAGAGAGAGGGCGAAAAAAGAAATAGGGTTAGGAGAAAGAGATGGGGGTTGGAGAAGAAAGAAATAGAGTGATAAAGAGAAAGGGGGACCGAGGGAGAGAGAGAAAGAGTGTGTGATTTAGTGATAAAGAAGAAGAGAGAGAGAGTGAGATGGGGGGGAGGCCAGAAGAAAGAGTGAGATAAAAAGAAGCTGGAAAGATAGAAGGGCCATTCGGGAGAGAAAAAAAGGGGGAGGGGCCAAGTGGTATAAGAAGCAAGTGCAACCTACAATTTTCAAAGCCTTTGAGAGGATGGAATGGGTATAAGAAGGATTAGGAAATAAAGAAAGAGAGTGAGAGACAAAGTTTGGGACAATAAAGAAAGGAATATGTGAGAGAGAAGCAAGTGCGACCTATAATTTTCAAAATCATTAGAAAAGAGGGATCAGGGAGACAAGGCCATGGGGGAGATAAAATGAAAGAGATAATGAGACGATTTAAAGCAATAAAGGAAGGAAGAGGAGAAGCATTTCAAGAGACCATTCTTAATATATAATTGTGGAAGAGACTTCGAGGCTATAGAGGAGGAAAATGGAGAGAAATTAGGAATGTGAAATGAAGAATGAAAGAAAAACATGAGGGCCTTTGAAGAAAGAAAAAGAGATGAAAAACTTTTTAGATGACAATCTTTAGTATGTAATCAAGAATAAGGTAAATATTACTTTTTCAAAATAATTATAATTTTTTTAAAACCATATAAGTTAAGTGTTTAAATGTAAAAGATGATGGAAAAGGGTGAGAGGGGGACTTAGATGAAGGGGTGGCAAGTAAAGTTTAACTTTGTAAATTTTGCTAAATAATTAGATAAGGAAGGAGGGAGAGAGTGAAGGATGGAGAAAGATAGTGATTTGTTTCATGAAAAACTAAATTCTCAAGCTAATCATTCAAATATTTGTAAAATATGCAAATCAAGAAAGAATGAAAGTGAGGGGAAGGAAGGTATCAAGTTTTAAAAGTCTATTTAAAATTTGCAAAATTGTATGTAGAGGACAAGTGAGTAGTTGTCGGAGAAAGAAAGCACATGATTCTGCATTACATGTTTACATGTTTGATGTATACATTAATACTCTTAGAAATACATATTTAATCAATTAACCAAATTAAAATCAGTTAGTCTACACCCTTTTAATATCAATATTACCTATTTCTTATATATCGACATTTGTTACGGATCAACTGAAAAAATAATAACTAACCTAAAACATTAACAATAATATACATATATACATATAATCATTTAATTAACGAAATAATAACAAGTCGAAATCACCAAAATTGGGGGACTGTGCGCATAGCGCGCGGGCCCACAACTAGTTAATGACAAATTTGATAAGTTATCCCATCTGGAGATTTTGAATCTTGGAAACAATAATTTTCATTCTTCATGCGACACTGGTTGGTCTTAGTGCTTTACAGAAGCTATTGCTGCGCCACTGCACTGCCTCAGCTTCCTTCAACTATGGTAGAACTTAACGCTGCTGATTGTTATAGAGTAATGACCATAAGTGACCTCTCAAATCTTGAGATATTACAAGAACTACAACTTGCAAACTGCAACAAAGTTGCCGATGTTCTAGGTCTTGAACGCTCAAAGTCTTTAAAAACGTTGTTTATGGGAGGCTGTAATAAACTAATAACGCTATTAAGTCAGCTGTGTGTTCTCAAATTTTGAGATATTACAAGAACTACAACTTGCAATTTGCAACAAAGTTGTCGATGTTTAAGGTCTTGAAAGCTTAAAGTCTTTAAAAACGTTGTATATAGAGAAGATTAAGCAAGGTATTGTGTACCCAAGAGATATGAGGCATGTATATAGGACCAAAGGTACACAAAATACCAAAAAAATAAATAAACATATGCTATATGAGCCATTCGGCCTCTTCATGCAATAGAATTTTAGAAAAAAATACTAATTGGACCAAAAATACCAGCATTCCTACCAAATTTATGTGCATTCAGTATAGCTACAACCAGAATGCCACCTGGAAAGAAATATAATCCTTAAGTTGATTTAGCAACTTTCTTAAAAGTCTTCACTCATGGAGTCATCATGGTCGTGGTCGTGGTCATGGTCATGGTCATGGTCATGGTCATGCTCCTGCTCATAGTCCCTGGAATTAGATGGCGTTTCAGCGTAAGCTTTGAGAATGCGTCTGTACTTTTCAGGAGAATCCCACCAGGTAGGGGTTCTGATAATGGCCCTCTCTAACCAATACCTGTCTGTCTCCTTCTTTTCAGTCAGGTTCTTGCAGAAGCTCTCCCATTGATACAATGCACGTGATAAACGAATACTCTTTTTTCCTCCAAACACATATTTGATGTAGTCCTTGGCTAGCCTTGTCATCTCAGCACCATTGATGATATACATGTACTGAAAAATCATCATCAAAATAATAGCATCAGCATACAGATTTTAGAATAGCTGAACTAGGATACTACAATCTCTCCAAGTAAACATATTCTAAGCACATGAATGATCACATATGCTTGTCAGAAGATGTGGCTAAGAAAGGATCTCATACACCATCAAAGCATCAATATTATACAGAAGAAACCAATATATATACACCATCAAAGCATCAATGTTAACCAGAAAATAAATTACAACTACTCATGTTATTAGATAATATAATATACATGTTTGATAGTGATAGTCTACTCAATCTAGCAAAAATTGTAACAGAATTCGGAAATTCTTACCAAAAAGATGAAACCAAATGTTGCTAAGATAACTTGTACAGTCTCGTCTAGTACTCCTGAGAAGCCTTCTTCCTCAGATCCACCCAAATCACCAAAACCACCCCCACCTCCACCACTGCCGCCACCTCTACCTCCTGGAGGATTTCCACCTTCATCATAAAATTCCCGTTTCTCAATCTGCTGTTTCAATAAATCCTCCACTGATGGTTTCTTTCCTAAATTTTCAATGGCTTTTCCAAAAGATTTCCACAGAGGTTCCTGCACAGAACTTACAGTTAAACAACAGTCAAAGAATATATGAAATATCAGCTGATTAGCAACTGCATGACTGCATCAACACAATTGAAGAGGTCCACACAGACAATGGATTTGATTTTAAAAAAGAAACTACTCTATGGTGATTAATGTGCTCTTTGAAGTATCCATTCAAAATAGTTATGAGTTGGACAGCTGGAATTTATTCTTTTAACATGAACTTATTTCTGAACATATCATATATAACTTGGAATAAACAGAACTTGATTTTTTTTTCGAGAGAACCCATCAAATGAGAATTATATGGAGTATTTACAAATCAGAACCACCACCCAAAATTCTACTTGGTAATTCATCCTCACATATTTTTTGGCCTACTTAGCAAGGTTGAAAATGTGCTCTAATCATGGGCCACATTATTCCCACCACACTTAGGACCAGACTACAATCTACATCATCAAAACAAGAAATTAAACCGATAATATCATATTATCATCTATAACCAAGTGGAAGATACTGCTTCCTTTTGAATTCCTTTGAAGTGCTTAAATGACCATATGACATCACTTTCAACCACTAACTGCCTCAAACCCAATTCCACCACCACTTTCAACCACCAACCACTTTGGCTTCTGCAACACCTGTCTCCCACCCCTCTAAAACTGGACAGCAGCACAGAACACCACCTATCTGGCACAATCTCTGAAACCACACCTGAGCCCACTTTTCCCTATTTTCCAGCGTTGACATTCACCTTCACCCACCCAGCAGCAGGTAGGGTACAGGAAGTTGGAAATTTGCCCATAATGCTACACCACCAGCTTTCTTTTTTGATGCATCCCTCGTCTTTCCCACCCAACTTCAAAGCATATCTCACAGTTTTTCCAACTCAACTATTTCATTCTCAATTACATACTTGTTTTTGAGCTCCCATACTGCCCAGCACAAAGTAAGAAAAATCTACATATCCTCTTCACCAAGCTAATTGAAGCATACTTCCCACCATGGCACCGCACCAATCAAGTAAATAATGACATTTCAAATAAATTTAAATGCCCTCCGAGTTGGCAGCACCTCAAGGAAAGATTTTAACTCTAGGAAGCATCATGCCAAACCTTCTCCCATGAATTCTTCACTTTCTGTGGAGCTTCCTCATTGCCCTTCCAAATCATAAAAAAAAAAAAGCTCTATACGATGAACGAATAGAATACACTACATTTTTCTCAAGATCCCACAGGCAATCAATTACTCAAGGGAATGCTCAGCATCCTCACTTGCTCAAAATAGAGAAATAATTGAGGGATGAGTTGAGAGTTCCAGCAATGGTGGAACAATTAGAGACCCAACCTCCAATTTCAAATATGGAGTTACATTGATTCTCCCCACTCTCCATCTCATGCCATGCTGTAATACGCATCTTGATTCCCATATTCCACACCAAGTGTAACTGGATAATGACCCCAAATCTGTGCCCATAAAGGATGACTTTAGATAATACAGTAATTACAGATTGAACTTGGTGGCTCTAGCCTAAACCTATTAGCTCCAACCTAAATTTATTTTTTGTATGAAGTTTTTTTATTTTAATTTTTTTGGATAAAAAGAACAAACCAATATTTATTCATGACTTTGAGTAAGGATAAATTAAATTGAATAACTCCAAAACAGCTCTTCCTGCCATTACTTTAAGACTCCATTGAAAATTACCAAGCTACCTTATAAATAATACCAGAACTACAAGTTTAGGAAAGATTGATAAAGGGTCCAAAAGAGAGATGGAGATGATAAGAGCTCAAATCCAATTTTTAAAAAGTAAATTTTTTCTGTCTGGCTAATGAGAGCATATAAGGAATATTTCTATAGGGATCCACAATTCCCTATCTCCCTGCCCTCCCTATTATCAAGTGAGTAGACTAGTGAGCACTTGAATCATGTCATCTTCTCTCCATTATCGGGTTAGTCTATCTAGCTTGAAGTACAAATAGGAGCATAATTAATTATGTACAATTAACAAGGGAATAAATGACATGAAACACTCCATAAGCACCTTTTCTTCACTCATTTGATTACTGGTATTTATATTCAGCCACAAAGTTCTCATGAGTAAAAAATTGCGAGAACATAACCTTTCATTATAAGCTCTTTTAAGTAGTTTTTCAATAGCAGAGGCTCTTGATTTTACACAAAGTAAAACATAACAAATTTAAAACACATTTTTAAAATTAATTTCACTAGTTGAATTACTTTAACCAAACATGCCATATAAAACACCAATCTAGCTAATTTCAATCTATCAACAGGCACACAATTTTTGTTTTTCTTTTTTACCTGATTTCCATTCCCAGCTCTTGCTTCCCCGCCAGACAAACAAATTGGCATACTCTGTTTGCATTTCACTGCATTGGTTGAGATCTTCAAGGGAGCCTGAAACTTTAGAGGAGGACAACGGACAAATGCTACAGGAACTGAAGGTAAAGGGTGAAGCCCCTTCACATTGTGTCTAGTAACTACATTTACATATGCCTTAGGGCAAAACACATTGTTAACCTGAGTAGTAATCATATTTTAAACGTGTCAAAACCTCGTGAATTGTACCAACAGCTTCCTTTTGAATTACCACTGCACATGAACATATTACAATTATAAGAGATTACAAAATTGCCAATTTCAATAGACTCTTTAATGAAAAAATAATTCAACCCACAAACTCTATGGACACTTATCACAACATAATCTTTATTGAAAAAAGGCTAACTAATAGTGTTAACACAATGATTCTTTTCATATGTCTTCAAATGATGACAACACCGATGATTTGGCTAAATTATACAAGTAGCACCATGTCTTATACAAGTAGCACCATGTCTCCAAATAAAAAAAATAAATAACAAAATAAGCCTTCCGTTTATCTGAGATTTAAAGGACTAAACGAGAATAAAAGCTCTTGGCAAAAACAATCAAGGCAAACCAATGATCCCGCTAATGATTTCATCTTCTTTTCCCTCCCTCAAACATCTCCTCTAACTGTATTAGGAAATGTAACAAGCAAATGAGCCTTAACTTTGTGCAACAACAAGACCTCGATTTCACAGTTGCCTAGCTAAAATGTTCAGACACCCGGGAAATTAAACTTTCATAGGCTCCTGTATTATCCATGCATTTAGGCCCGTCTCTGAGCCAGCGCAAAATGGGAGAAAAGTCCCAGTTTCATAATTCAATTTTAACATTAAAGAGTTCTGCAACACATTAGCAACCAAAACAAATCAAATTAAGCTCATAATTTAGGTAGAAATTGTCCAATTCCATAGTTCTATTCAAACATTAAAGGGTTCTGCAACACATTAGCAACCAAAATCGGTTCAATTATCAAATTAGGCTCATAAATTTAAGGATAAAAGGTACAACTTCATAGTTCCATCCTAACACTAAAGGAAATTTAAATCAAATATCAAATTAAGCTCATAATCTTCTTCTCATTTGGTAATTACAAACAATAGTTTGATTATCAAGTTTAGACGAACCCTGTACACTGAAAATAAAATTAGCGATAACCCTAGATTGTGAAATTGGAATTCGATGATTACAAATAGAAACAAAATCTTACCTCAGAAGCTGCTTCAATGGAAGATAGAAGTATCAGGGGTCGCTTCAATGGAGTGCGCTTCAATGGGAAATTGAGAGAGAAGTATAACGTAGATAGCTTTTTCTTTCTCTCTCTCTCTCTTTTTTTTTTTTTTTTTTTTTTCTTTTTCTTTTTTTTGGTTAAACTTTTCCTTTGTTTAACTCACTCTAAATAATTCCTTTTTATTTATTTATTTATTTTTTTTTTTTTTTTTAAGAAACTCTAAATAATTCATGATATTCTCTATGTTCCTAATTGGTATTACACAAATTCTTATATGTGTTTGGTCACACCGTGGTCAGTCATAATGGAAGTTACTTCGTTAGTGTAGCAGGAGTTACTCGTCAGTGTTACAAGAGTTACTCGGTCAGTGTTACAGGGGTTACTTCGTCAATGCTATATGGGTTACTTGATCAGTATTACAAGGTTAACTCGGTCAGTGTTATAAGGGGTACTTTGTTCTTTTACAACCGGCCACATACAAGACATACTGTTTTTTTTTAACTTCCTCCGTTATTTTTAATTGTAATCCGCATAACTGTATCACTTTTATAATTGCGGACTTTTAAGCAATTTTTGGAGTAGAAAGAGATAAAAAGAGCCCATGTTAAAAAAAAAAGGAGCCCATGTAATATGGGTGAGATATAGATAATTTATTACCTAAAATGGCAATTGATGCTACTAAAGTGAGACTTTCATTTTTAGAAAGTGATGCAGAAGAAATATTTTAAAACTTTTGTGACAATAATATTAGTTTACAGGTTAAGTCTCGTGCCATGCATAGTAATTTCACTACTTTTAATTAGAAAAGTAATAACATTTTTTTTTTAATAAGAATATCATGGACAAAATACAATTATAACATATTTATTAACACGACCCAACCCGATTAAGAAAAAAACCTAATAAATTATGAAAATTTTGATAAATTATTGAATGAGGCTAATATTTTTTCATATAACACGACAACATGACATGAACCGGACATGAAAAAAGCGGGTTTGTGTCAAGGGTTTCCGACACGTTTAATTAAACGGGTCAACACGACACATCATGTTCATTAAATGGGTCGGGTTAGTGTTGAGGCTTCCCAACTCATTTAATTTCAAACAAGAACACAACACGACATAACACGATACAATTGTCAGCTCTAATTCAAATAAATTAAAATATGCGAAGAACAAAGTAAGAGAAATGGAAAACATTGTAATATAATATGGAAAATATATGACTCAAAATTATTACAATTATATGTTACGATGAATATTTTGCGCAAATTTTATAGTAAGTAGTTGATGGTATTGACAAAAAAAATAAAAAAATAAAATAAAAAGGAGAGGGAGATTTTGATGGAAAAAAACACGTGTCATTCCTGGTGTCTGTTTTAGTATTGTACTAGATTAGCACTCGTGCGATGCACGATTTAGAATAAAAAAAAATTCAATAAAGAATGTAAAATACGGAGTAATGAAGGTTTTTATAAAGAGAAATATCATTAATACGTTTTTGGTTAATTGATGTTCTCACTTTTATTATTAGTTTCCCAATATTGAATTTGGAAGGAAAAATATATGGAAAAAATGATGTCATAAGAAATTTTGTAGGGAAATTTTTTCATGACAAATTGACATGTGTACCATGATGATGTAAGCGGTTTTTATTTTAGTCATAGTTATAGATTATATATTATATATTGACTAAGTTAGTTCCTGTGCCATGCACGATAATTTTCAATAACTATTATTAAACATTTATTATAATATAGTTTTTTTATAGACAAAAAAAAATAAAAAAATAAATCTAAACATATAGTTGACAAGTTTTGATCAAAATAAAGGATTACGAAAGATATATTAGATATAAAATGATGTAAAAAAAATCAAAATCAAGTTAAGAATGTTTTTTCATAGCTATATAAATATTTGTAATGTTAAAGATATGTCAAATCTTTTTTATTTTAAGTAATTATGTTGTATAAGATTATGGAATTATTTTTGCTTAAAATTTGTTTCTTTAATAGAATCCTATTGTTGAGGCAAATATTGTTCTTTGCCAATGTAGACACCTGATTGTGTCTCCCAAAAAAAAAACCAACCCCAGTGATGAGTACCTTTCACGTCTTTGATTAACGAGTTCGGTAAAGAGTTGAAGAGTCTCGTGAATTTCCCTTAAGCCTCGACCATCCCATAACCTTACCTAAAATTTTTTAATCCAAAAACCATTTATTTCGTGTCTTTAAACCCAAAATCATTCATTTCGTGTCCTTAAAATCATTCATTTCGTGTCCAACTCATAAAAACGTCCAAACCAAATTATTTTGGTCCATGTTCTCAGTCCAATAATTTTTTAGTTTGTTAGGATTTGAAAAGTGCTTTCCAACGATATATTATAAGCCCAAATCCGACTTAAAACGAACAAGTTATGGCTAAAATACTAAACCAAGCCCAAACCGGACCTAGGTTGTAATCCCCCGTATTTTTAAATATTTTATAAATGAAATTTTATTTTATTTATAATATTTATTTGTATTTTTCCATAATTTAATTTTCAAATTATTAATATGGGTCAAAAAATTATTTTAGGCTAAATTATTTTATTTACCTATATGCTACAATCCATTACTATAAAACAAAGCCTAACCCATTTGTTTATTTAATTGGCCCATTATTTTCATGAGGCCCAATTCTACCCTACAATTCTCTCCTATAAATACCCCATGAATCCCCAAATTTTCCCCCACACAAAAAAGTTAGTCTTATTTTCTTCCTCCCTCTTGTTTTCTCTTCTTTTGTTAATTCAACCCAAGTTTAAATCTTTATCAGTTTTTGTTATTTAATTGTTATTATTATGGTTTGATTATGTATATGAATTATAAAAGATTATAAATTTATAAGTTTTATTATGTTTAAATTATGCAACAAAATTTCAGATTTATTTAGTTAAGAAATTAGGGTTTAAAACTTGATTTTCATGGTTTTAGGCTTATTAACGTGTTGCTAAAGTTATTCAATTTAAGCATGATTATATTGTGATTCTACTATGATTATGATGATGTTTAATTCAAAAGCAAGTTTTCAATTTTTCGTAGTTAATTTATGATTTTCATTCTTAATTTCTCTTAATCACGTTTTAATCACGTTTTGACTCTAACTCGTCTGATTTTGCAAAAACATAGTGTTTTTCGTGTGTAAATAACGTTTTAATCAAAGCTCACTACCTTTTGTAGTGAACACCACCCTCTCGTGACCAAATTCAGTCTCTAAATATGGTTTTCGGGTAGTTTTTGATTTTTAACGAATGTTTAATGTTTAAAATAAATTTTCAGATTTTTATAAAGCTTTAAACTTGCTGTAATTTTATGATTAAGTATGTATTTTAATGTTTTTATGTAGGAAATTCTAAGAATAATATATAAGCTTATAATTCTAGCAAAAAGGAAGGTTTTTAAAGTGTTGTTTAATTGAATTTTGAAGGTTTAATTGAGTTTTTATGAAACTAGTTGAATTCTAATTATATATTTTAAGTTTAGATTGTTGTATTCATACATTCTACTATTAAATTAAATTTTCAGATTTTTAATCTTGGTTTAAAGGTTTTAAATCATGGTTTTATGATGGATTTTTAGGTTTTTAACATACTAACCTACTATATAATGATTATTTCAAGTAGAGATGTTTATGAGGTTGTTTTATAGTCTTAAACTAAATTTCCAGATTATAATCCTTACTTTAAAGTTGCTGGAATTTTATGTTATAAGCTATATTTTCATGATTTTAACATATAAACTTATACTTGAACTATTGAATTATTAACTTTGACTATTGTGAGTAATTTAAAAGCATTATTCCAATGGTTTAAGGGGTTTTAAAGTAAGTTAATATTGTTGTACATTATATTGCTTGGGTATTGATTGAATTATTATTGTTTGGTTTAGGAGAGGGCTTTGTAGAAGGCGATTTTTAGTTCTGTAAGTGGCCTACCAACTCGTGTACTCAAGGTACGTACAAGGATACGAAAACCTTGACTTTAGAAGCATGTTTAAGGACTTGGAAAACCTTAGAATCATGTTAGGAAACTTGTAGATTGGTTGGAATTGTATTGTAGTAAGTTTGTTTGGTGATTAATGTGGTGATTGGCTTTGTTTCATGTATTAGAATTGCGTATTAATTTATCTTGTAAGTATTATTTATGCATTAACATGCAAGATGAGCTTAGAGGCAAAGGTACATGAATATGTGGAATGAATTATTGTATTACTCGTTCATGATTAATGAAATGGAATGAGTAAAGGGAGATTTAAAGTCTTATAAGACAAGGTTGAGGATTGAGGTGCCTTATGCACTTAAGGTGTTTATACACCGAGGAATTTAAAGGATTCAATACTAAATATTGTTTGTCACTAATAAATCAAGAATTGAATTGGAAATTTGAATTGTTTGAATGATGGATGTATGATTGGTTGTGTTGTTTTGCATTTGAGTCATCACCAAGTTTAAACTGGTAAATCACGTAAAGTGCAAGATGGATGAGCAATAAAACTTTGGATTTGTGCACATCTGGAGTATTGACAAACAAGGGTTGGGGTACACGGGGTATTAGCCGTGTACTTTTCAGAGGTCGTCTGATCTGCGAGTCTCTTGTTTTCAAATACTTTTAAAATTATAATGAGTTAGATGAGATCTCATACTAGCTATGGCCACGGAGTCGAGCCCGTCTGCCATTAGATGTTTATTAATGTTTCCGAAAGGAGGCATAGGGTTTTCTTTTATTAATGTTCCGAAACGGAGCATAGGGGGACAACCTGGTCAATTGCTTAATCCAACCAAATTAATGAAATGATCAATGCTATTTAGTGATAACTTAGTAATGATTAACAATTGAGTCATGTGTTCGAGTTAATGATTATATTGTGTGTGTGCAGATTGATTTTTAGTAACATGCTAGGGCTCTTTGCTATATTTCGTAGCTTGTATGTACTCAGCGTTGCTGATTGCGTGCTTTTGTATGTCTTTTTCCTGGTCATGGCCTTCGCCTTTCAATGACCCTGTAATGATCCAATTTTTACACTTGTAATATTGGGGAGCAGACTAATCACAGGTCTTACCTAATCAGAACTTGCATCAAGGTGATGGGATTTTGA